GTGTGTGTGTGTGTGTGTGTGTGTGTGTGTGTGTGTGTGTGTGTGTGTCTTTCTTTACTCACATTTTTGGCCTCCAGCAGATCCTTGCATTGCTCGTTGCGGCTGAATTGAGGCGACACATCTGGATTGACACAGGTGTGATCTCTGCTGGACAGGATGGTCATCTGCACGCCGGAATAGATTGTGCGTTTCATCTCATGTGCAATCTGAGTTATCTGTTTATGTGTGCGTGTTCCAAAGAAGATCTTTGGAATCTTCTTTCTGGCATCTTTGTCTTTGTCCTTCACACTGTCTTTGGCTGATTCACATGAGCAGTGGGTGCAGGGTTCAGAGACCTGGACAGAGAAAAMAGACAAACACTTAAAGACTGACAACCTGTAAGAATAGTTAAATAATTGTTAGTCAATAAGGCAATCATGAGTACTCTACTTCAGCAAAGACCTTAAACGATGCAAACCAAAAAGAAGCAACTCAGTRTTTTTACAATTTGCAAACTTCACGTTATAACATTCACCAGTTACTGTACCTGTGGTGTTCCACAGGGCTGAGTCCTGGGACTCCTACAGTGTGAAGTTGAAAGTAGTCTTGTATGCAGGTGACTATCTGTTATTCCTGTCTGACCTGTCGCATTCTATCACTGTCACTCTTTCAGTCCTAGACGCATTATGTAAAATTTATGGATATAAACTTAATCTTGGGAAAACTGAGGTMTTTTCTGTTAATAGAGGTAAAATATTATCCACTTATTAGTGTATCATTTAATCAGTTCAGTTTGTCTATGATTGAGTGCACATGGTAGATACAATGATTATTCATAAGAAAAAAATGATTTCCTTCCTTCCTTAAACAAATTAAACCTGATATTGAGCAACAGCCTTTCCTAAGTTTTTCTGGAGCTGTTCAAAATGAATGCCATCAAAATGCCGCCTTGCCTCTGATATCTGTTTCACATTATTCCGGTTTTGCTCACAAGATTTTTTTTCTTGCAAGYTCAATTGTAATTTTATTTAGAGCAAAAACGACCCAAGCTGCGCCATCAAGTCTTAAAGAGGCCCAAAGCTCTTGTACTACAACTGGGCGACTAATAGATGGTTCTCAAATGACATAGCGACCTGAAGATCACGTGATCAAATCTCCATATTCGTGGGTGCGAATGCGGAAGACGGGATAGTCTACAGCAAAGAAATGAATACAGTCTAGATTGTTTATGTAGTATGTTTCTATTWTAAGTTGTTTTAATAGTCATGGAGGAAGTTTGCGTGTGGCAGAGAAACACTCTTTAAAAAAATGARGGCGTAAAAACACCAAAGAGAAGTAGAACAGTTGGCAAAGCAAGGTGATTTTGTGGCTGGAGATAATCAACCACAAAGATTTCACCCTCCTCAGGATTCCAGAATGTGTTCAGATCACTCCAACCGTAAGTGACCGCATAGTACGTTAATTACCTTTTTTAAAAAAAGGAAAAAGATTGCGCACTATGAACAGAAAAGTGTTTTGAATATTATGCAATCTACCCTTGTAAACACGCATGTAGGACAGCATCAGATTACAATCACAAAAAGCTCAGTATTGTGCAGTATGTACCCATTTGGAGTATGTAAGATATAGTTACAGAGAAAGTCACACAGTCATATCAACACAGCCTCTGTGTCGGCTCTGCAGACTTCAGCAGCTCGTAAGGATCACTACTTTCAATTAAGCTAAATACCTTGATTTAGAGTTATTATCCAGTCGATCCTTGGGTGTCCTGAAAGGCACTTTTAAATACAAAGTATTATTATCCTGGTTATGCTCATCTGCGTCGTTCAGTGGCCTTTTTGCATTTTTTCTCCCTTACTTTTGTGGTTCTCCCATTCTGGTTTTATCGCTACAAGCTAAATGCTAGCCCACAAACGGGGTGCAGAGGGAAAAAAGTCCCAGAAGAGGACGTCATTGAGAACCATCTATGCAAGAAATCAGAATTATTGGGTTCAGTATGAGGACAGTGAATTCTCTCCATCCATGGGTGGTTATAGAAGCAAATTCTGGCCCATAAATTCTGCTCGTCAAGTAGCACTGAAKGTCTAAAGTCTCATCTCTTCATTCTTCTACTTCTAGTTACACTAAAAATGTGATTTTAGATGCCTGCCTTAAAATCTTGGTTTAAGTTGGATGCCATTTTTTCTCAGATCGTTATGATCTGGGCCCTCCTGTTTGTATTTCATTAGCAGGTCATGGATACGTGCTAAGAAAGAATAATCTTAAATTACTAAATAAAGATTTTTTTTGACATTTCTGATTTATTGATAGCAATAGAAGTACACAAATTGTATTGTCTRGTTTAATGTTGTTTTTAAGAGCAGGCTTAAGACCCATCTTTTTAACTGCATTTCCTGAACTGGATCATTTATCTCTTTTTTCATGTTGGGGGAGGGAAAGTTTTTTGTTTTTATATTGTGGGTTTATTGTGTATCATTTTGTACAGCACCTTGAACTGCATTTAGTATGAATGGTGCTTTTTAAATAAATAAAAACGAAAGCTAGAGCAGCTGTGGCAGAGKGGTTAGGAGAGTCGTCCTGGAACCAGTAGGTCACCGGTTCGATCCCCCGTCCAGCTGTGTCAATTGTTGTGTCTTTGGGCAAGACAATTACCCCTAATGCCTCTGATGTGTCCCATCAATGTATGAATGTGATTGGCACTGATTAGTCTCCATAGATGATTGTACATGTTAGCTTTGTAGAGATCTAATTAGAGTGCTGTGTGAATGGGTAAATGAGGACACAGATTGTAGTGTGAAGAGCTTTGAGTGTCCTGAATTGATACAAAGGTGCTATACAAGTACAGTCCATTTACCATTTAACTAATGGGTTAAATTTCTAAGTAAAGTTCAGTTAATCCATGTTTCATTATAATCCAGTTTCAACTTCATGGTAAATTAGTTAATAATKCAAATTTTAGACTGATCAGTGTATTATTATAGAAAACAAAACCAAGTCAGTGCTATTATCCATGACCTGAATAGATCATTACACAGACCATATTGTATGCTCTTTAGAAAAACACATAGAGAAGAATACAGTATTAGTATCTGTGCATAAAGCTTCCCTGTCACTCTGCACAAAGTGACCTTTTATGGGTCTGAAATTTGATAGGGCACTATTGTGAAGGCTTAGAAAATCTAGCTGCTGCATAATCAGTGATCCTGTGATGTGGTGAATTTATTTTCTTCATCACAATTAACAGCAGAGGTGCCGATGCTTCAGAAACTGATTCTGAAGCTTACACAACCTCTTATAAGTAGTGTGGTCTTCGAAKATTCAATGGCCCACAGAAATGCACAATTAGAAAGAACAGTGGTATTAGTGGCAGTAATATAGCAGTAATAAGACGTAAGTTTGCTCCAGTGGGTTTGATCACTGTCAAAATAAATTATAAATGGGTCACTGACAGGGTTTTGTCTAACTTGTTGAAATMGTGAGGAGATAATTGAACAATTTGAATTAGGTGTTTTGGACCAAGGAAACATMGGAAACCTGCGGGACTGAGGTCCCTAAGACCAGAGTCTGATACCCAAGTTTACTGAGATAATAGCTGCGTTTCCATTGCTAATGTGCGCAAAACTTTGTCGATATTCTGTTAATGTCGATAAAACAGTTTCGCAACTGCGGTGTTTCCATTAAGTAAGAAATGGTATTAAAGTCACACGTGAATACGTTTGTTCTCATGATAAGTCATTACAAACATGGCAGCGATGGATGTAAACACATAGCATGTTGCTACCACGACACTAGCGCTCATCATCAGAGAAGACGTCGGCGTCTTTTATCGAGGCTTTCCAGAGACAAGTCCCTACTTGGGAACGGCTACGTATGCTGTGTTTTTGGGAAATTGTAGTCGGTGAGTTTACTATTTTATACTACTTCTGTGATGTTACTACTACTTCTACTTCCTGTTATCTTCTTTGTCATCGTCTTTTTCACCAGTAGAAACAGCCGGTTGTTGATCACGTGACTCCAGTGATGCGAAAAAAGTGTTTCCATTGCAGCTTTGCAAAAARACCAATTTCGATACGGCCGAAATACCACCTTATCCTAGTGCAAAAACGTTTTGTCAAAAACATAATTTCTTTCGAAATTGACGTGTTTCCATTGAGCAAACTTATTTTCAAAATTCTATTTTGCGCATTTTCATGGTCAACGGAAACGCAGCTAATGAGTAAAGTGGCATTTGACACTACCTTTTGATGACACTATATTTTTCTACTTAAATTAGTTGATGCAAAATGTCAAAATGTTATTTAAACATCGAACAAAAAGTCACTTCAAAAACAGACAACGAAAACATAACTTGTGCTCAGGATGGTATCGGTTCATGAGAATCTTGGTTCTTTCTCCAGTCTTTAACATTGTTTCACATTACTCCTAACATACAAAGCTCTCAACAACCAAGCTCCATCATATATTAAACATCTTATTGTTCRATACTTTCCTAACAGAGCACTTCACTCTCAGACTGCAGGTTTACTTGTGGTTCCTGGAGTTTCTAAATGTAGAATGGGAGGCAGAGCTTTCAGTTATCAAGCTCCTCTCTTGTGGAACCAATTTCCAGTTTCTGTCCGTGAGGCTGACACTCTGTCTACTTTTAAGATTAGACTGAAGACTTTCCTTTTTGATAAATCCTATAATTACTTAGGTTTCCTGAATTATTTCTTAGTTATTKTTTTCTTTAGTTTGTATCTCTTTCCTGTCACCTCTGACCCCAGCCAGATGAGGCAGGTGGTCGGTCGTCCCYAGCCTGGTTCTGGTTCTGCTGGAGGTTTTTCTGTTAAAAGGGTGTTTTTCCTTTCAAATGTGCTGCTCAAGTGGGAGGTTGCAATAAAGAGATTTGCTGAAATCTAGCTTCCTTAGAGAAAGATAACTTTTACTAAATGGCATTTTTAAATATGTGAATGCTTTTGTACAGTGCCCCAAGATGACTTTTGAAATGACGCTATATGAAGGGAATTGTTCGTAAATTATAAAAAGTATTGCATGCCTAAAAAGGCCAAGCAAAGGTCTTCATTCCTACGTCCTCTGTAAAACTGCCTGAATAATTGTTCAAAAAAAGTGAAGGGTATGTGAAGTCACGCATTGTCACTTATCGAGGAGATCTGAAGATAGCACTTCTGATGACAGATGAGAAGCTCAGGTTACCCAGTGGCTCCGATTTTCCAAGCGTGTTTGCCCATCAAATATTACAATGCATGGTGAAGTGTGGGCCACATAGGGCTCTCTAGAGCCGCCTCTCAAAGTTAAGAGGGATAACGAGCCCTGAGCCCATGTGAAAAATAAACAGAGGTGCTGTAGAGCCCCAACAGAAAAACACCAGTTCGGGTTACCTTTCTCTTCTGGAACAGTTACGCTCCACAGCCTGGGCCTGGGGCCCGATCACTTTACCTGCTCCTGCCACATTACACAGAGCCATCCAAATATCCTGCCCCAAGATAGCCAATAATTACTTATTCATTGGCAGGTGGGGGAGGAGAGGGAAATTAGGGCAGTGTAGAGGGGCAAGCTGATGAATAGAGACCCTTGTCAAGAGCTGCAGCAGGAAACAGCTGACACAAGAGTATCCTTTACACGGCTGCCTCACGAGATGCCAAGGAAACAAGGTTTCAAGCCTGGCCCCACAGCCCAGAGCAGACACCCCCTTTAAAAGAATGGAGATAACTGGAGAAAGGGGCAAGCTGCACAGCAGCTCAGCTCAATAACAGATCACACAAGTTTATTCAGCACTGAACAATTCGAACAGGGTGGGAGTAGGCCTGGCACAGTAACAAACTCAGCTGGAAGATTAATTATGTCAGAATTTATTGTGATAAACAATAATACTGTTTGGAGACCATTTTAAACTAACGATATCACCCCAAACAATTTATTCTTTGTGTGTCTTCCTCTGACTTCATAAAATAATTGGTCGCCCACACGCTGCTTTTAAAGAGTAACTTACCCCAAAATTAACTTTTTTTAGCTGATAAACTGTCTAGAATGTGTCTAAAATGTTATAT